GCGTGGAGTGACCACAGCTCTAAACTTTTTAGAAATCTGCCTATCTGCAGCATGGATAATTTTATCAAAGAGGAATACAAATTTCACTTTCAGGAGGCCATTTTATATTTTTAATCTCAGTTTTCTTCTTCTTTAACTTCTAAAGGCTCAGTGGCCAGAACATGAATAGTAAGATTCTAATATTGATTATTTTTAACATCTCTTCAAAGTTTGCCTTCGAACCTAGCATCCTGAGTGCTAGAACTCATCAGTACAGCTTTTAAAATAATGAATTATGTAGTTTCAAAAGCTGTTTTAGTCTTCACTTTTGTTTGTTTGTAATTATGTGCTTTGGATTAAAAAAAAAACCAACAAACCTATAGCTGAGGTACCCAACAAACTATTTAAACGCTTGGCAATTTACAGATTTCTCTAGAGCCATAATATCAATTTGTAGCTCATCTCAGAAGCTCCTGGCTCCAGTCTAACTCCAGCTACATTGCTTTTGCTACAGGAGAAAGATCCCTTCAGCCTCTCCCTCTGGACCTAAATATGCTGTAGCCATAACTGGTACCCAGAGGCCATGATAGCCACAGTTAGGAGGCCCACCAGTAATGCTGGCAGCATGCTACAGCGCAGCTCTGGGGGATAGGGACAGGCAGGGGACATGATCCTGAAGAAGGGACGGAGCTCACAATCTGCCCTCAGTGAAAGCCAGTACGAGAGCAGGTGGTGGCCTGCAGTGACATTTTGCCTCGTTTGGGCTGGCACTGCTTCAGTTGCCATCTTTAACATCTTACACGCATCTCCCCCGTAGCCTTGCATGAAACACAGGCCTGAGAAGAATTTGGCCTCTGATTTTCTACTTACGCTAGTATTGATTATCATTAATGTCATTTACTGATTTTGATACTAAGGTTCACTAGAAATATAAGTATTTTATATTCTCCTCTTGGATTTTTCTATACTGCATATTCAAATTTAGGGAGATTACGTTTGAAAAATCAAGATAATGTGGCCTGATTAATTAAAATTAATTGCAAAAAAACCCTAAAGGTCTAAGGATATAATCAATCATAACATCAAATCTATTTAAGACATTTTGAATCAAAAATGTAAGGCAGATAGAATGAACTGAGAACATTTTCCTTAGTAATCAACAGGAAGAGATTTTAGCTGGCATTAATAGCTGCCTAAGGCTGTAGAAATAGATAATCCTAAAAGCGTTTTTCAGATGATGCCTTTTTAAATAAATACATTTGAATTACATACTTTAGTCATAATACCCTGACATAGAAAACACCAAACAACCAACCTTTAAGTGGTTGACTGCAAGCTTCCAAGTAACATTAAACAAACGGAAAACAGGGATTCTTTCTGAAAATATGTTGTAAAAGAGGCACAAATGCACAAGGCCATCTTCATAAATTAAGTCACCACTTGTGCAAAAGAGTTTTACATGCTAGCAGAGAGGGACAAAACAAATATTAAAAAAAAATACAGAGGCAATAGAGAAGAAAAATGATATGCTAAAGTTGTATTTGGTTTTTACCCTGAAAACTCTGTTGCTTTTGTCTCAGTTATCTGTGGGTTTCCTTTCTAAACCCCATAATAAAATGACATGCATAAAATGACTGTAAATGATTGTAGTTAATGATAAATGATTATAGTTTTAAGGTAGTTGTTTTCCTTGTGCTTGGGGTGAAAGGGATGAAACAGAAAATGTCTAAGAGAGCAGCTGTATAACTTCTTCTAAAGAATTACCACCTAATAATCAGCTTATTTAGCTCTTCCCTTTTGTGATTGACAGAGCAGCTCTCATTCAGTTTGTTCCTGGTAGGATATTTTATATTTTTTTTCCTCCAGTTCACTGGCAAAACAGATCAATGCAGCATTTCTGAAACCATTTCTGAATGTGAAGGTCAGATTTGTAATACTGAGCAGCAGCACAGCGTTTAGCATTCCATCACATGAAACGCAGCCAACAGTAACAAACGTTCCCCTGTTTCCCATCTCTCTCATCCCATTCTGTCTCACGGTTTCTGTGGCTGGAAAAGCAAGCTAACATTTCAAACTACGCAAGTCTGATGCTACCCTTCGGGCGACCAGAAGAGGAAGCTCTGACACTGAGCAATGGGCTTCTTCCCTCGAGAAAGATGCTGTGATCCTGCAGCAATCCCTTACGACCAGGGGAAAACTGCAGTTTAATTTCCCAGTGTAATGTCAGTGAATGAGCTTAAAACTGATAAATGTAGAGGAGTCTCAAACATTTGGGAATAGAAGGAAGCTATAAGTCAGCTCAATTTCCATTCTGAAATATTATTTTTCTTTTATTTATAAATATTCCATTTCTATAAAAGGCAAATGCTCCTTCTTATGTATCAAAGAAGTGATAAACAAATTTATATTGGAAGGCACAATACCAGTTTTTCAGGTCCTCTTCCTTTGTCAGCCCACATTCTATTTATCTATTACTATGACTTTACAGTCTTTATTCACCTTTTGCACTACTGGGAGAACAATTTTAACAATATATTAATGAATTTGACCTCCCAACATGCTCAAGTAGCAGTTGCTGCTTTAAACTTTTTACAGAAAGAAGAAAATGGAGGCACCACGGAGTTAAATGACTCTTCTCAAAGACATCCCACAATTAGCTGTTGACTAAGCCAGCTCCTCCATGCTATGCTTTACTTAAAAAGTCCATTATCTCTTCATCTATTTTCTCTTAGCCACATAGTTCCCAAATTTGGCAGGAAACAAATCATAAGCATTACAAGATCCTCACTGGGACTCTGAAATGAATGTGTTCAGTACTGTTTCATAAACAGGGCAACACATAGGCATATTATTAAAATTAAAGAGGTTGTCTTAATACCTCTATGCAAAGGGTCAAATGTTAAAGCTATGCTTAGCCTTAAAGCTTCAGCTTGAACATTTTGAACTGCACTGAGCTGAATCTTCACCTGTGCTGTGACCCCTCTGAAAAGCTGCAGGAACTCCTTGACTGATGATGGCTTAGTTTCAATCCTTGGACTAATGCTTTCTCTTCTTGTTATTTGAATGTTTTCAGCATTAGTTATGCCCTTTCTTCCAGCTATGTCAACCTGTGCAAAAGAGCTGACTAAATCTTTTGACTAAATCAAAAATATTTGACTAAACTGAATGAAAATCATTTCAAGTTTGAGATTAATGTCAGATAAGGAGACACTGCAAATCAGTCAAACTTTTATTTCCAGTAATAGCCCTACAGCTTAGTTGACGCCATGCTTATGGTTGCAGAACCTGTATCATCCATAACATTGATCAGCTCAAGAATGTAAGGAGAGAATGTATGTTACTTGTGGAATGTAGAAAAACGTCTACTACGGTGAAGAACTCTGGGGTTTTTATACCTTCCTTACATCTTCATGAAAGAACGTATGCTTATTTTTCTAAAACACAAAAACTCATGACCATAGCAGTCTAAGAAGAAATACATGCTTGAAAATTAGTGGAAGCTCCAATCAGATCATCAATAATGTACAAGAGAATTTATGGTTTAAACCAGACACTGAACTTGCACATGCAGATTTTTTAGCTAACATTGCCATGCCTTAACCTTGGCTCAGAGAAAGATGAGAATAACTTCTCTCGATGTCTGAGGACAACACTGTTGTAAATGTCTTGTAATGTAGTTTTTTGCTGTTTTTTGAAATGCAATCAAATTCATTTCATGTGAACCATCAGAGTCTAAACACTGTCAAGCAGTGATGTGGAGGTGACAGCTTCTGCCTATGTGTCACGGAATTCTTCATGTCTACAGTGATACTGTTACTAGAAATAATAAAGGGATAAGCAAAGAAACTTTGATTTTTAAAGTATATTTACTGTAACATACCTTATTGTAACATCTCCATACCACTTTGTGAATACCGCTAGATACCCTGTTTCCAACCATATCTTCTCTTAGATGCCACCCTTTTCCTCCAGAAAGGTTCCAGTAAATCTCTGTACCTGCAAGTACTGCCTGTAGCCCATTTAGAATGGAATGCCTCCAACAGCTCCTATAAACCTTTCCTAAGCCTCAAAGCACAGAACGCTCAAGTGTGAGACAACATGCTCCTGAAAAAGGGTCGAGTCCTTTGATCCTCATCTCTCTCTGTCAGAAGAGAGATGTCAGAACTGCCAAAAACAGTAGAACATCACCTAATTCCCCATGTATTTTGATCTTCAGTGTTTCTTATTTATACTACAAGCTAGGAATGAAACTGGCACTTCCAGCAGGGGTAACGTTGCAGCAATGGAGATTTTACCTTCTCTCCCTTTATCTAATTGAATGCGTCAGCAATACAAATGTCCTACTCAGTCTTTGACCTAAGGATACATACCATCTTTCAGGTATCCCTGCTCCTCAGTACCTCCAAAGATACAGATGATGAGTTGCCAGGTACAGTCAATGAATGCTGTTTATTCTGATATGAACATTTATTTTATGGAAGATGACGAGCTTTGACAACAGAAACCAAGCCATCCATTTCCTCTGTCACTTGCTGTTATTCATTAAATTGACTCCTCTTTAGTTTTTATTCTCATGTCTTTTGAATAATGTGACAAGAATGTAACATGATGCAAGCTTTCAAATGCCCTAATGTCCTCTTTCAAAATCAGTGTCTTTGCAGTTGCAGTCAGGATTTGGATACACTGAGGCACAGCCTAACGTTTTTTCCCCAAGAATGTACAAAAGCAAATGTGTATGTTGAGAAGCTCTGGTAGCCTCTTGCAGCCTAGATGCAAACAAACTGCTCAGAATGGGTTAGATCAGATCACATCAGAGGATGGCTGGATGCTTTGGTTCTGCCAATCAGAAATTAGCAAGATTCAAATCACTAATACATTGCATTGTGGCAGTTTTGCTGCCTGTGCATTCATTCAACGTTTATTTATTTGGGGTGGGCAAAAGCTATTTCCTGTAGTACGTATCAACCTTCACAGTAGATAAAAATGGTATTAACTTGGCTGAGGAGAAATGTATCACATACCTTCTGGTGGGGAATTACAGCCCTGGGAGAGTCAATTCTGGGCGCTGTGGTTGAAACTGGTACTGGACGTTTAGATCTGGAGACCAAAAAAAAAAAAAAAAAAAGGAAAAAGAAAAAAGATTATCAATCGCCTACTTTTCAGGTCTTATTTCATGCAAAAAAGCTGCTTCAACAGGAGTGAAAGCTAAGCATAGCCTGGACTTTTTCTAGTGATTATCATGCTTTTTCTACATCCGCATTTACAAAGGTCTTAAATGTGAGAAAAAGTTTGATATTGTTTCCCTGAATAATGAAAAGTCATCAGTTACGGAAGTAGTCTCCGACTTCAGCCATCATCTATTTTCCAGTACCTTGTGACAAAGTGCATTTTCATTAATGACCATCAGCCACAACTAGATAAGTTCAAGTTTGGGCAGCTCTCTGGAAAAGGGAACTTAGAAGTGTCTTAAAATGCAGAGACTACACTTTGGTAATAAGGCATCTCAAGATCAACTCCTCAAAAGATTATTATTTAATAGCTTAAACTGTATAGCAACTGCCATAATTTAAACCATTTCATTTCAAAAGGAGCAGATCACTACTGAATTAACCAAACTCCACTTCAAATGCCTGCCTTTCACCTGTATTTGACAAATACACGTACATGATCATTTAAAAACCAAAAACAAACTCCACTGAAATGCTTTCAAAACACACAGTTTGCCCTTTCATTGAAACAGAACATGGAAAACACAGTGACAAATGCTAACTGAAGCTCTCTAGGATGCTCAGGAAAGTGAAAATCTATTTCTGGGAAGTGTTGTGAGAACCTGCATAGCACTGAACACCCCCCTGAAATCTTTCCAGTACACGTGGGATCACCAGAGAAAATGAAATGAAAATGTAAAAATAGTCAAAAGAATCAGAATTATACAAGTAATATCCTATTGCCAACCTACAGATCAAAATTATGCCTGGAATTCTTATCTTTAAAAACTACATTTCAAAATTAAGATAGGTACAAAAATGCAATAAAAATACTTGAAATCATAGAAATCAAGCAGAAGTGACTGAGACATTCAGAATTGTTGGCTTTAGACAGGAGATGAATAAGGGAAGACATTACAGAGGCTTAAAAAATAATGAATGGCAGAAAAAGGGAAATAACGCTACATTCCTGGGCATTAAGTGAAACTGAAAAGACAACACATATAAAATTGATAAAAGCAAACATTTTTTCCTAGAGAACTTGATTAACCTGAGGTGAAACTCATTGTTACAAAACATCATTGAGACTATAAGAACAGCAGGATACCAGAAAGGATTGGATATTTATACTTACAACAAAAACCCCAATAGCTCCTTTAGATTGGGTAAAAATAAGTAGCCATATAGATTCTCATTTTTTATGGCACAACATGAAAGACTGATAGCGGAACAGCTTCTGTGTTAGGTTCATTATTTCCTTACTGAGGGCTGTGTTGCACTTTCTTCTGAAATACCTACCAGTGGCATCTATCAGAGACAGAAAGCTGAGCTAAACAAAACCTGAGCTCATCCGTCATGACAATCCCTGCATTAATACCTAGCTTCACACTGAGCTGCGTATTTAGCTTTAGCTGCCACATGTAAAATATTTCGATAAGCAGGAGTAAACAAATAAAAAAAAATAGGAAAAAAGAGTAATCTTTACAGGAACTAGAAGATTTCCATATAGAAGATATGGAAATTATGCTACTTTGAGAGCTGAGAACAAAGGCTATGTAATAGATGCCTACCTCACAATGAGTTACTACGAAAATGAACAGTTTGAGGAGACAATGAAAAGTGGCATTTTGTTAAACAATAGGTAATTAACCTGTGAAATTCACTGAAAAAGTATTCCTGAAACAAGAGGCTAGAAAACTGTAAAAGGCACTAACGTTGATACTCACAGTGGACTATATCACAGTATACTCCCTAAGACATAATCATCTGAAAAATAGATACCTTTAAGTTCTAAGAATAAGAGCTAATCACTAACTGCCTAGAAGAAACTTTCCCTCAGGTGAGTTACTAACTCATCTTCCCTCAGGAGTGAATGTCATATCCTTCCTCCAACCATCTTAGCTTAAAAAGAGAAACAATAGATCATATTCATGAGACATGCACACGCATCATGAAAGACAGGAAAAAAGAGAAAGGAAAAAGAAAATAAATCAGCTGCAGCCCAGAACACAGAGTTGCTGAAAATTGACTGTGACAATTTATGAATAGACAAAGATTTATGGGGAGATTCTGATCTTCCTTCCATTGGTGTCATTTCTGGGTACACCCAGTTATTCCTGGGAAGGTATGTGGCAGGACCTGGGTACACTCAAGACCGCAGCTGGGCTGGGCAGACACCAAGTGTCCCCTCTGCTCTGTTCACTATCATGACTTTTTGTGCCAAAGATGCTGTAAACGTTGTTTGTCACATGCAGAGGTCTAGCAAACAACCACATACTGCATGTTTGATGCATAACTGGAAAATCTTTGTCTTGCAGCACAGGAATTTATTTACCAGACTACTGCATCACTTCTGTTATTTACTGTATGTCTGGTTTTCCTCACGCATTACCCGACCACAGAAGATGATGTTAAAAAGCTGTATTCCTTCCACCTTACCGATAAGCTACATCTGTCATTCACAGTGCTATCCAACCAAGACACTTATTTCACACTGACTTTGAGGTTTCAAGATGTTACTTTAAAACAATGAGGTGCCTACATAACTCTGCCCTGGATCTTTATAGCTTTGGTATTTAAAAACAGAATGATGAGGCTTGCTAGATTTAGCACACACTTGCATCAGAGAAAAGGGCAGAAGAGGTGAAGTCAATTTGTGGAATGAACGTGTATGCACTTGCAGAACAAAGTGATTATTTACATAAGAGCCATTACTCCTCAGGAAAAAACATCTGCAAGTTCAGGACATTTTTTTTTTTCCTCTCTCTTTTGCAAGATGAATCAAATCCTGCAGCAACACAAGTTTGCTTTTCAAGTGATAATGGTGCTGTTGCAAACATGTGTGTTCAGGTTTACATTTTAATCTATTGATTGCAAAATTACTTTATTCCAAACATTCAGGGAGCGTACTTGCTTAGTAGGGCTATGAGGAGGATGAAAGTCCAAATTTCACAAATGACTGATAATTTTAGATTTGATGTTGAAATGTTCCATCAGGATTGTTTTTCTGAGGCAATTCATTTGATTTTGACTTTCAGACATTTTGTTCTGTATTTTCAAAGTCAAAAATGGAAACATTTCAAAATGAAAACTCAAACCAGTTATAATGATGACCAAATACACCATTCTGGTATTTTTTAATTCTTCACACAGATATACCTTCCCTCTCACTCAACACTGGTTCTCTTTCTTAACACAGTTCAAAAACAAGATGGAAATAGTTTTGCAAAGCAGTTCAATTTTGATAGCACTGCTGATACGGCTGTCAAAATTTCTGCTTGTTCCCACCTACCTAAATATATCTTTAATTGAAGAGCACTTGACTTCAATCCTGGTATCTTTGCACTCACAAAGGTTCATTAGGAGTCAAGATACATTAAGAGGAGCTGCTTGCCTAAGGAAGGGCTGCAAAAGAGTTCTGTAATGCACTATCAGTTTAACCCGTGTCCTCAGGGGAGCACAATACTGTACTTGTACAGGTGACATGACCTAACCGATAAGAGCTCTTTTTCATCTTCATGTGGCTTTTTTATATTTCGTGTCTTCGCCAGTCAGTGTCTATCTTATCTTTCCTGATTCTCAGGACAGCTAAAATCAACATTTCTTTTCTTGCAGTAAGCTTTCGCTATCATTTTATTACATGTGAGCACTTATTTATACTTTTTTTAGCATCCAAATAATTGTATCTTAATATCTCAACCACTAGAAAATTAAAAAGGGTTAAGTGCATGGAAAGGTAGGTAATAAACCAGATTAGATTAGGGTTAGAAATGCTTAGAAAATATTTTACGTACTTATCACCTAATTGAAACGGAGTCATTCTGGAGTGGAGTGGATGAGCACATAGCAGGATGCAAAACAATAGAGCATGTAGAACTTGGCTTCTGATGATGTATCTGTTCTAATACAATAATATTCCTGACAATTTGGCAGGGGCAGGGACGGAGACATAAAAGGGACAGACTGAATATTACTCATGGTTATCAATTTGAGGTGGCCATTTAATAAGTGCAAAGACCACTAATGCGTCAGTTAAATCTTCAGCTGAACAGTGAATTAAGTAGCCAAACAGAAGCTTCTTGTTTCTACGTCTTGCACAGAATATCTTGAGTCTTGTGACACCATGGTTTAATTCTCTAAGCCCTGCCTGGGACATGAGCAAACAGTTTTAGTGACTCCAGCGAGAAGCACAAAGAAAAAACCCTGAACATTTCACAGTACTTCAAATAGAAGTGTGGCCGCTTTGGGGCTAGGATGAGACCTACTTTCCCTCTCTCAGGATATCACCTGTGCCTGCAATAAAACTGAAAAGTATTTCCATCAGTGGTTTTGCTCTCTATATATCAATGACAAATGCAAATACTAGCATTTGGCTGGATGACTGATTTGTTAATTATTTCCCTGTATTGTGCTGCACTCAGATTGCAAGACAGGCAATTACACTTTCCAGACCTAATGTCCATATCCACTGCAATATATGGACAAAAACTTCTTATGCATAAATGGCACCAACCTAAAGGGAAGCTGCTATTAAAAAACCCAAAACATAATATCTATGACAGAGAATTTATTTGGAAGTATGCAATACTCATTTTCCCTTAGAGGGGATCTGAGTCCGGGGCAGCCACAAACATTATGGGATAGAAAGGGAAAGGAAAAGGGAAAAAGCCTGAGAGAGTTTTGTGTAAGGATGGAAGGAAAGGAAGAGAATTAGATAGCGTATGCGTAAAGCTGAGAGTTTTGAAAAGGAGTATGTATTCAAAATTGCTGGAGAAGCAAATTCTACTCTCCTGGTCTCTCTTCGACCCTTTTTTATTTCTGTGGCATCTGCACAGTGCCCATTGCATATTCTTTACTCTTCCTCTCCTTCCTGGTATGCAAAATCCCTTC